CTGCCCCTTCTTACACAAGAAAAACCCTCTTGCACAATGCTGCTATGCTAATTATTTTCAGGAAGAACGGCATTGCACAAGAGGGTTGTTCTTGCGCCAGAAGGGGCAGTGTAGACAGCTCCTTCTGGCGCAAAAGCCTCTTCTGCCAAAATGGTGGCTCATTAGATATGCAAATGAGGCTCCGCCATATTCCACGCTTTGCGTAATTTGCATATTTCTCGTGCAAGAAACCGCGAGTCTAGACATAGCCTAAGGGTGTGTCTAGACAACAGGGTTTTTTCAAAAAAAGTGGCCTTTTTTCTAAAAAAAACCGGCTGCCACATTCTTTCAAAATTAAATCGAAAGAATGCGGCAGTTTTTCGGCCGAGGAAAACCTCATTTTACGGGGGAGAATGCTTTTTTTCGAAAGTGCTCTTTTTTTTTTAAAGTGCTCTTTCAAAAAAATGCCCTATGTAATGCAAACTGCGCTTTTTTGAAAGAGAGCATCCAGACTGCCTGGGTGCTGTCTTTCGGAAAAGCGGCTTGCTTTTTCCAAAGTGCTGGTTGTAGTCTAGACGCTCTTTTTCAAAAGAGGCTTTTTCGAAAGTATCTTTGGAAAAGCCTCTTTCAAAAGAGGCTTGCAGTCTAGACATAGCCTAACTGGGTTGCAGGTGGGTGTTGTTTGAGAGATGGTGAAGGGAATGGAAATTGAAATAAAGGATGGAGGGACAAAGATGGAAGCCAAAACATACACAGAATATGCTGCGGTATAGGGCATCTGAAAATCTGAGGGCACCACTGGGTCTCGGTGTCCACTCACCTGCCTCTATTCCTGCTCTGTGGCTCTGTTTCCTCTGGAGAGGAGCTAAACGAAAAAGGTAAAACTGAGAGAGCCCACCAGAGCTATTAGCAGCACACTGAACCTGTAAGAGAGCCGTTCGTGTGGTAACAAAGCCATTTCACAGACATTTGCCAAGCCCAGGTTTATCCTCTCAGTGTTTGAATTTACTGTGTCACTCGACAGGACCTTAGTGCAAAATGTACTTGAAAAATATCCCATTAGTGTGTTGCTGAAGATTATAAAATCACAACACTAAAAAATCCTTCCCCTCCACCACCCCGACCCCAGCTGCCATGGTGCATAGGGGCACCAGTTTAATAATACTGCGGAGGACCCCATAAATCCTAAGGATGGTCCTAGTAGATGCCACCTGTTTCCAGCTCTAGAGGAGGCAGCAGCTGCTACTGCCTGAGGGCTCTGGTGCTGTTAACGCGTTAGAGATTGGTTTTTTTTTATATACAGTGGCCTCACATTTTTTGGAGTCAGATGCCCTGATGCCATACGCTTGATGCGTTACCGACATGGATGAAAGAGCACGTCCCTGCTCTGAGGAACGTTGTCTGAACAGCCAAAGCTGAAGCAGCAGGAAGCAAAGTGCCTGGAAGGTTATTTTTGGCCTCCTAGCGTCGTCGGTTCCAGAGGACAGGGGTTGGAGGGCAGATCAGGGTTTCAGGCGTTCATGGAAAAAAGTGTGTTATGAGGAAGGATGTGGAGGCCAGAAAGGGAGTGCTAGGTGTAGGGGGCTGCACATCAGCAGGAGAAGAAGGTGATGCAGATTTAGTGGAGTGAACAAGGGGGAAGAGCAGAGTCAGGAAGGGGCTGAACTGAGCACAGCTTGTCAGTGAGGGGACACAGGCCTGCTGGCAGGGCAGGGTAAAGGGGCAATTGACCCAAGGCCTGGTGATACAAAGGAGCCTGGGAGTCCAGCTGCCACAGTAGCAGATGCGGTGGCCAGAGCTGGACTCCCAGGCCCCTTATATCATTGGGCTTTGGGCAACGCTGAGGGAGGCTCACCCTTCTGGGAAATTGAGGTAAAAAGCAAAATAATTGTTTGGGGACAATGTGTCCCTTTATGGCCCTCTACAATGGAGGCCCATAACAGCAGGGAACAGGCAGTGGTAGGGAAGCTGAGCCAGAACAAGGTTACCACAGCTCTTCCTGTCTGTCACTGGCTCTAGGTGGGAGGAGGTGAGGCAGGAAAAGCTTCTGCTCTCACCAGCTCCCTGTCCCATCCCAAATTCAGCAGAGAGGAGTTGACCTGTACAGCACTGGCTGATCCCTGACTGGACTCCTCTTCCCCAGAGAGTTACCGACTGAGCAGGGAAATGTGGGAAGAGAATGAGCCCCACCTGAGCGGGTGAGAGGGGGGAGCAAGTGAGCCTCCTTAAGGGACTGCAGCAGGGTGGAGAGAGGGAATGCACCTGACCATGGAGATGGAGAGCGGATTGAGGACAGACCCATTCCTCACGCGTACACAGACAGGAGATAGGGAAGGGGGGGCAGGGCAGGGTTGTGAGGAGATGGAGCACTTCCCGTCACACGCACAAGGGTTTGGGAACTCAGTGGGGGAAAAGCGGGGAGGGGTTTGAGGATGCTGAGGTTGGCTGCTTGTGCCGCTGCTGCCAGTTGTATGAAATATTGTGAGTGTAACTACGAAGGGACCAGGACAATTTCACCCTTCTTATTTGTGACTTTGCACTTCCCGCCATCTGTAAATGGCCTGGAAGCATTACTGGTGCTTCCAGACTCTGCGGCATAGCATTTTTGGAAGCCAGTTGCTGAACAGATTTGATTTGGTGAGCAAAAATGTTATGCTGGTGGAGAAGGTATCTGTGTTTTGTAGTGGAACCCAAGCTAACATTGTGTGATCCACCACTTTTGTTCTCGTGTGGCTCAACCACACAAAAAAGCTGGAGTCTGCTACTGTTGGGGTACAAATGAGCCTGTCTGTTTAGCTCAAGAGGCTCATGTTCTTATTTTTTTTAGCCTCAGAGATCCTGGGTTCAGTCTAGTCTATTGCCATCATTCCCATCACATATTCTGGAACGCTTACACTTTTGCTTCCTCTTCTCTTTATGGAACTGTTCCCACCACAAGTCTGTAGGCAACTATAAATGGCCTCTCTAGAGTTTAAATTGCTTTTCAACAAAGTGTAAATGTGAAACATCCAAGCTACTGCAATTGGGTAGGAGGGGGGAGAGCTGAATTTAGTTCCAAAATATTTATGACTTGACTCCGACATTGCAAACCACTTCTGGAACATTTATTCATGAGTTTGATTATAAAAAAAAAACCCATATGCCATTTACAGAAGAAATTACTTATGAAGGCATCAAATTTTATACTTAAAAATAAGCTTTGAAAACAAGACCACTAAATGACAAAACATACTATTTAGAGCCCAGATGGCGGCATAAAATAAATAGCCGTTTCCTCAGTGGAAGCATAGGCAATTTGGCTGCATGAAGCTGCAGTTCCAGCAGAGATCCTTGAAACAGATGTTGATATTGCTTGTGCATCAAAACTTGAGCAAAAAAGCAAGATGCTCAGGTAGCATGAATGTACAATAACTGACAGCCTCCGATTCTTTTGTCCATAGGAGAGATAGTTAAAACCAAAACAGGACTTTTCTGGTGCGTTGAACATAAACACATGCTAAGATAAGGCCTCATCCTTATCACAGGTGCCTCGTCCTGTCTGTCTGGGACAGTCAGCAGCTTTGGCATTTTTTTCTTTTTAAAATATCCCACTGTTCTATCATTTGCTGTAGAAAAAAAGCCGTGTGCGTGTCTGGCAGCAGAGAGGTATCACTAACCTGCTGCTGCTGGCCAAGAGGAACATGTGGGGGTCAGAGAAGAAGACCGGGAGAAGCCGGGCAGCAGGCAGGGGACAGGAGCTATAGGCAGGAGCCAGAGAGAAACCAACAGAGGCATATCCTCAGCCATATTAGTAGTCATGGAGACTCCCAAAAATTTGGTGCCCCAAATTTTTGGGTGCCTATGCAGCTGTGTACTTTGTGTATGCCTAGATCATGGCTCTTAGAGGCTCCCAAAAATTTGGGGCCCCAAATTTTTGGGTGCCTATGCAGCTGTGTACTTTGTGTATGCCTAGGGATAATTCTGCATAAGAGTAAGAGCGATTTAGTAGTGGTCTATTATTGCTGTATACTTACTGGCCCATGAATGCCCAAGGAATTTGATACATCAGATTAAGTAATGTCATTTTATTTTTTTAAAACTATTTGAACAGTGTGTCTCATTTAGTCACATCCAGACAGACCACCTTGTCATTTGCTCAAGGAAGCCATAACAAGCTGGTAGGTAAAAGTGTTGTAAAGAACGGGAGAGTAGATATGGCTATTACTGTCCTCACCTCAGCAGAATTGGAACTCCTCAGCTATGTGATAAACCTGATCATGGACACCGAAGCATCTCACTTTCACTATAGCAAAAGAGTCACGTGGTTTTGGCACAGGATGCTGTGGGATCTACCCCCCGCCTTGCAGTGACAGGCTGAGAGGTCATGTCATCCAGCAGTGTGACAACTGTGAAGCAGCATTAAATAGCCACAGGTGTGTGACTATTCTTAGAATGGTTTTGTTTTGGGAGGACCAGTCTGCATAACGGTTATAGCTGGAGAAATGGGAATCAAGAATCAGGTGTATTCCTAACTCAGCGACTTTCCCCAGTTGAACACCTAACTTAGCTTGCTTGCGTTCTTCCCCATCTGTAAAACTGGGGAAAGTAACAGGTGCATTTTGTAAAGGAAATTGAGATTGTAAGATGAAAGGCGAGCGAAGGATATATACTGATGGAGAAGCCTGAGACCTTACCAAATAAACCCATCTTCTCTTTGATGGTAAATAATACCAGCCATACTGTCTGACTCCCCTGATCTTGTAACACACACCTGAGTCAACCAGCTAAACACTATGCCTGCTAGTATTAATTTCAGTGATCTTGACACTTCTGTGTCACAGTGTTACAGCTGCTACTCCCTTGTCAGCAGGTAGTAAGTGGGACGGTGTTGACAGCACACAAGGAGCCAATGCATTCTCTCACAGCAGTGTGCTCAGTGTTCTGACTCCTAAATGTGCAATGTTTTTATGTGCAGTGTATGTTAACAATGGACTGGGGTTATCACTGTTGTCAGTTAATCTATGTTGCTAATGTTATTACAGACTAACTGGTCCTTGCTGCGAACGTTTATCCCTCAAGAAGAACTCCCTTCTCTCCTTGGAAGCAAGAAATCTGAGGCTGCATCTTTCGTTTTCATGAGTATCTGAGACATGGATGTACGGTCTTACCGTGTGGGCACTTGGAATTCCCTCCCTCCCTCCCACAAGGAGACAATAAAATCAAAGTAAAATAAACGTATTCAATAAAGGTAAGTGGATAAAGTCACATAAAATAAAATCAGAGAAAAGTAAATTCTCTGCGCCACTCACAGCTGTTAGTTCAGTGAAATTGCCTTTCCTCCCAGCTGCTGCAGGCCTTCTGTCTGTATTTTGGCCTTCCTCACATTCCAGTAGGGGGCTCCAAAGCAGTGGCAAATCGTTATTTAAAACCTGGCCAACCCTAGCAGAACACCGAGGGGCACTTTCACAAGGGCCCTGAATTAATTATGTACATATGGAATGAAAGCAACATAGCCAATATTTTCACCTAGGGCTGGCACTCGACCGGGTGTCAGTCAGCTTTGTTCAGCTGAGGATTCAAGCCAGTGTATACACATACACATGTCTTTTTCAGGTTGCTCTTGTGCACATTCATCTTGGCACATCCTGTTATAGTAGCAACACCCGTAAAAGAACTTTGCCGGGCATTAGTGATGTAAAAGAGTGTGTGCAAATGTGTGTGCTCTCAGGAGGTGGCTGGGGTCTAAACATCAGTCCTTTAGACTCGACACAAAACTTTCATCATCATTTTGTGCCTGTCAATAATTGTACCCATATTCTTGCACTTACAGTTAATTGTGGGTGCAAATGTAATACTCAGATATTGATATAACTCCCTTATTTGGGAATGCAAACAAATTGTGAGACATCTACAACCAATTATTTGCAGTATCTGTGCAGTTTTAGCCATGAGTAAAGCTTGGTCTCCACTTACTATATAATACACCCACAAAAACTACATAATTGGAAAAAAAATAAGATGTGATTGTGACATTAAAGACTGTGTCACAACGCAGACACACAATGGGGCTGAATGAAAGTTGCATACGCAAACTTACTTCTGGTATCTCTTAACTTCAAATGCTTGATTTTGCAACCCTAATGATGTTCTTTTAATGTAATTTTGAGGTGTAATTTCCTAGGTATAAAAAAAACCTGGAAAATCAGACATTTCATGATGTGACTTCATACTGACATGCACATGAGTCATCTGTGGTGTTGGAACCATTAGATCCACTATAGACATGTCTGCCACTTCTGCTAATGGAATACCTGATGCCAGTAGCAGGTTATCATCCTCTATTTTGACCAGGACTAGAGATGGATGGAGCATTTTGCCACAGAGTAACACCTGCTTGCTGTCAGCAGAGTAATGGTGAGACTCAGGAATCCTTTGTACAAAGAATCTTCAGGGAATTAAGCTGTAAAACTCTGTCTAATTTCAACCGAGCATGTGGAAACTATGAGGGAGGGGAGTTTTAAATAAAGGCTTATAACTTGGCCAAATTTGGGTAGATTTTCACATGGTGAACAAAGGTGCTCCCTGACATAAAAGCCACCCTTCCACCAAATTTCAAGTCTATAAATGGAGATGCTAGAGCTTTTTGAGAAAAAAAGATCTCCAGCATTTTTTAATGTGGGCAAAATAATGTGTTACGATGTATTACTCCCTAGCCTTGTTCTTGAAAACTGCAGACTCTTTTCATCTCAATTTTTTCCAAAACAATTCAGCCTGAGGCAGACATCTAGCCTGGGAAATTGAACCCCAAATAGTTAATGTGGCAAAACTCTAAGTAGTTGAAAACAAGGACTTATAATGGGGAAGTATCAGGAAACCTTAATATAAAACAGTGCTGCCAGTCCCATCTATAATAATATAATAATATTTTAGGTAGGAAATGACAGTTCAAAATAAGAGGCAAATGTATGTATTCATTGATTACACTTTTAATAGGACCAATTAGTGAGGTTGGCCTGCTTCTGAAAATGCTTTAATTTACTCTTTGATTAACAAGTAAAGGATTCTCATGAATATCAAAGTTTGAATTTCATACTTCTAGAGTGGCTAAAACAGATCATTGGTGATATCAATGGGAAAGTCCCAAGTTATTGTTTCCATTGCTCACGACATCTGCATCCTTCGTTGTGGATTTACTTCATCATTAGTTTGCTCTGATTTCCATATGAGGCTCCACGACCTTGGCTTGTAATTGGAAACTATTCTGGCTCTAACTGTGGCAATTTGTTACATTTTTGCTGCTAAACGGTGACTGTCAGACATTTTCTTTTCTTCCATAGAAACATAAAATTGTTTCCTATTCGTGACACAGAAAATAACTTCTTTCTAGTTTTGCTCACAACTGTGTGGGAAATGACCTTTGCAGTGGTGGCTTGGTGCTTTGATTTCCAAACCTTGCTTTGGCTGACAGACAGCTCTGTGTGGATATTTGTATTTTTAACCCATTTTAGCTCATTTTGGAGTAAGGGCATACTGTGACAAATTCTCTTCCATGCCAGGAGCTGTAATTACTATCCTCCTATTACTTAATATTGGTTAATATTGTATCAAAATAGAAATTTGCTTGCCAATGCTACATTCCGGGAAATAACACGAGGGTTCTTATAAATAAGTGGGGGTATACTTGCTCCTTTTGGATACATGCATATTTTGGATCTTTATGTAGTTCACATTGAAGGACAGCACTCACTCTAGTCCAGGCTGATGATCCAGAGAGCTCTGTATTGTGGCCAAAACCCTCTCTTCAGTCCTCATGTCAAGAAACTGTTCTAGATGTTAAGGAACACTACAGTCGTTTTCACTTCCTGCAGTGTGCCATAGAAGTGATACCAAAGCAGCTTTTCCCGCCAACTACATTCTTTTTTCTCGTTGCTGGGAGAAGAGCGGAATAACCTGTGGAGTCACCAAACTCTTTGACCTCTACTGACCAGCTGCTAAATCTCCTATGCATTCTGGGAGCATGTATGTCCTCCTCTCCCAGTATGGAGAGGGGTGTACAGAATGCAACCCTAAAGAATAAATGATGTAGACTGTCTTGTATGGGCCCTCCCTCTCCATACTGGGAGAGGAGTGTACAGAATGCAACCCTAAAGGATAAATGATGTAGACTGTCTTGTATGGGCCCTCTGGACTGGAATGGGTGTTAAACCCCCAAACAGCGTAAAACAACACATAGAGCACAGCAGTTGACTCCATAGAAACAGCCCCTCTTTGGCTTTCCGCTGCAGAAGGCTCCGGCTATGCTGTGAAGTTGCAGTTGCAGGCTTTCCCTTCTCACTTACCCCCGTGGCGTCGCCGGGAAGACGGTTGCCATAGGAAAGGAAGATTTGATTGTAGGAAGGCAGGGTAAAGCTCAGAGCATCTTGTTGACTAAATAGAACAGATGGAAAGCATACAGCCATGCCCTCCTCAGCAGGTTAGAATCTGGCTGCTTGTGCAGGAGAGTTAATGTGGATCTGAGAGAGAGAGTCTTTGCTCAAAACAGTTTACAGAATTATTCATGTGACTGATCGATCAATGCAATTAAAACATTTCCTTCACTGTAAGAATGAATTCCTACAGAAGCTGGCAGCTTTGTGGTCCAGTTTGCAGCACCCAGTGTGGAATTTCCCTTCTCCTTGCCTTGACATTATTTCATCTCCCAGTTTTGCTCATCCGACTCATCTCTCTTGAAATTAGCAATTTATAAAGGATGACCACAGAGAACCCATCGAGGCAGTACTGCTGCTCTCACAGTTCTGGACTCTATCTTACAAGCCCTATAAACACTCTGTGTCACTCTGTGCACATCCTCCTGGGATTTTGCATTTATTTCTTCATATATTGGACACCAACATGGGTAGCAAAATATGAAAAAGGAGCGACGGAGCAGAGATTAGGGGGCTGAAAACATTTTCACAGCAGTATCTTGACAGCTTTCCAGCATTCTCTGACTTATCGAGATCCAAACACTCACAGCTGGTGCATATTTTAATGCCAAATGACTGGCATGGCTGAAATTGGAATTCGCAGTCTCTCAATGTGCTGTACGAGCACATTTAGTCAGCACATTGCTTTATGTAACTCCTTTAAAGTTAAGTTACATTTCAATGAGGGCATTTTTATGGAGGCATTGTGAACTTGCATGGAAGAGAGAGTGCGGCTGACTTTGCCAAGTGGCTATATGTCTGATAAAATTAGAAGTAAACAACATGAAAAACCTTGCTAATTTACTACCCTAAAATTGTCAATTAAAGAAGTGCCAAGCAGCCTGCCAGGAATTCCAACTTCTCCGAGCGCAGGTAGTCTTGCCAACGCAAGAGCAGAAGAAAGTGAAGGAAATATTTGTCAATGCGATCCAATAATTGGTCGCATCATAATTGGGTCGTAAATTGCCCCAAACTGAATTGTTTTCCTGAATCTCTGTTTTTTAATGTGTTTTAAATCCCAGACCAAGTATCACTTTCCACGTACTAGTAGCACCGCGGGTTGTTGTGTGACTGATGTTTAGTTACACATTGTCAGGTTTTCTGAATGGCATTTCCTTGCAAAATAATACATTGCCTGAGAACTTTGAACACCTATATTGTTCTCAGAAATGAATCCAGTGCTTCCCCGAGCAAGAGGTGTTTGGAAACAGGAATGTCTTTACCATGCAAGGGATAGATCCCAGTTGGTGTAAATTGTGCTCATTCCATTAACCTCTGTGGTGCGATGCTGACTTGAGATCTGGCCCTGTGCATGTTGGAGGGCAGTAGACTTCATTGATTGAGAAGGACTGGTGGCTTTGCGGTTAGGAGTCAGTGGTCTCCAA